GGGGGAGATGACAGACAGCGCAGTGAGCGGGTGGCGATGGATGAGTTGGAACAGCAGGAGCTGGTTCAGCACCAAATGGATGCTCTGAACCACGGCCCTTCAACCAGCTCACAATGAAGACAGCAGCAGCCGACGACCACGCTCAGGAGTTGCGGTGGACAGAGGCCATAAGGGTCAAGGAGAGGAGAGGCAGACCTTGTCCACCCAGGTAAAAGTCCTTGACCCCCAGGGAAAAGTCCACTTGACAAGGGGTCTCCGAGGTACAGGGCCTCCAGCTAGCCCCCAGGGGGTACCAGGAGAACTGAGGCTGGGAGCGGTGTGGGTGGGACAGCACTTTGGGGTGCAATTGCGTCCCCTGCCTACTACCCGCCTGCCAGGGCCCCACTGACCTGCTGCCTGTTGTTGGGCGTGTAAGGAAGCAGGGTGGAGACGTGGAACATGATCTCATAGTCCTGGAACGTCGTGTAGAGGGAGTGCGTGCCCGTGGAGTCGGCTGCAACAGAAAGCTTGGTTAGCGTGGCATTGCCGCCTCCTGGGCTCCTGCCACAGCCCACGACTGGCTGTGTCGGCTGGTCACGGAGGGTTCTCAAGAAGGCTGGCTTTCAAAAACAGAGACCTTTCGCTGTGTGCCCACCCAGCGGACTGGGGAAAGGCAACAGTCTGTGGGGAGCTGGGGCCGGGGAGGCGTGTGAAGCACCTGTGTGGTTGGTCAGGTGGTCCCGTGGGACAATCCCTTGGAGAGTCTCCCAACAGTTACCGGGGGGCCCTGTTGAAGTAGCTCTGGGGCACAGTGGGAAAGCCCTTGGCCACGGACCTACGAGTGGCTCTCTGATGAGGCCGTCTGCCCTCGTTGTGTGACAGCCTGGGCAGCCCCAGGCACAGCTAGCTCTGCGGCTAGGCTTTTGGAGTCCACCTGAGGCAGGGGTTTGGGTTTACTGTGCCAGATGAAGGCTCTCACGATGACCACTTCCTGCACACGGGACTCAGAGCAACCCTAGGCTACGCGGGCCGCGGGGCAGCACGCCTTCACACCAGCAGGCCAGGCTGCTCCTCTTTCTCCCGCAGAGCAGCTGAGGGGTTCGACTTGCAGACCTGGCCCTGAACCCACAGCGCCACGGGCTGTTGTACTGTGCTCTAATGTCAGCAGCCTCGGTCCCGGTGCGCTGTGGACACAAGGGGTACTGGCAAAGAAAGGCGGGTGACCCGCACCACGCAGAGTTAGGAACAGCCAAAGCAAACTTTGTCTGCGGGCTCGGCCATGCCGCACACACAGCCGACTTGGGAGAAATGTGGGGCGATGAGGAACACAAGGGTCTCTGAGTCCCTGATGGGAGAGGGCCACAATCCCACCACCAGCCCAGTTCAGATGGGGAAACTGAGGCACAGCAATGGCGGGACGCACCCACGTCCGCATCCCTTCGTGGCACCTCTGCAGTGTCCCCTCTCGGAGAGACAGGAGCCTGTCCCCAGCAGTTCAAGGCCCTGCCTGCTGCCTGATGCTGGGGGCACCCTTGCCTGCTGGCTAAGGGGGCTCCCTGCGCCACCAGAGCAAAGCCCCTTTCCACAGAAGTCCCAATAGCTGGGGCTGCTGGGGCTGGTTTGAGGGGGACTGCTACTCCGAGAAGGTGCCGTCTCAGAAACCCCAGGGAGCAGCTCTGCACTGCCCATGCGTCAGAATCCACCTGGCCAGGCCCCCGCCCAGGGGAGGGCAGGCCCGCCCCTCCCTCGGGTGGAGCGAGCTGCGCTTCAGAGCGGACATTCTCATCTTCCTGGAGCTCCAAATTCCCACATGGCCGCGGGGCCCGTGCCCTCGCTGAGGGCTTCCCATCGGCCCCCCGCTGCTGGCACCCGCCCCTCCCAGAGCCCAGGGCAGCCAGCAGAGTGGGCCCTCTGGTCCCTGCCTTCAGCACACTGCTTGTTACCTCCTTCACATTACAGACGAGGAAGCTGAGACAGACAGGGGAAGAGAGAGGAGCAGAGACAGACAGACAGACAGACAGACAAAAGCACACTCAAACCCGAGGGCTCCTTCTCCTGCCTCCTTTATGGCAGAGCTGAAGGTGGGGGTGATGGTGGCAGGCGGCACCCTGCTGAACACGGCTTCACCTCCTCCCCCGAGGCCCAAGGGGATGAGGCAGAACAAGTGATTGACCAAAGGCTCTGTCTGGGGGCTTCCCTGCCTGAGCAGCCCCCCCAATGGGAGAGTCTTGCTACCACCTCCTGCCCGGCTGCTGGGACCCGCCTGCTCCTCACCCACGGTCCCTCAATGCCATCCCTACAGTCTGTCGGGGAGCCTGTACGAGTGCCTTGTATGACCGCCCACCACCACCGCCACTCTAAGAGGGTGCAGTTCTCAGGGACAAGAGGAGGCTCGCAAAGGTCCCTGGAACCGAGAGACGACGGGAGAGTCCCGTGAATGTTACGAAGGCCTGAGAGGCCAGCGCTGTCCTGTCACCCCTGGCTCCCCAAATCTGACGTGGACCAGTGGACACCGACAGCTCGCAGCGTGGCTCGGCGTGTGCGCTCCGGTGCCCACCCGCCAGCCCTCTGCTCTGGGACAGACTGCGCGCCCATCAGCACCTCACCCTCAGGTGCGGGCAGGCCTGGGACCAAGGGCCACTTACTCTTGACGTCCAGCTGGGCGGCGTACTTGCTGAAGCCCTTGAGACAGACCTTCTCCCCGAGGAGGGCCAGGAACTCCTCGAAGGCGGGGCCCGCGCCCTCGTTGTTGTACATCTCCTCCTCGGAGCTCTGGCCTGCCTTGCAGTAGAGGACGCCCACCTTGTGCTTCCGGCAGAGCTGTGGGAGCAAGGGCAGCGTGGTGAGGACCTGCCGGGGTGGGGTTCCCTGAGTGGGGAGCCCTGGAGCAGCTGGGTCTCCAAGAAGGCCAGCGCCTCAGCAGGAAAGGAAGAGAAGGGGTGCTGGGGTCTGTCACAGCGGTGCGCTCACCCGCCTGCTGACACACACTGGGGCCTAGGGGGTGGCTGATGAGCCACTCAGCACAAGGGCCTTTGTTGGCCAGGTTCCCAGGAGGTGGCCAGGAGGTGGACGGGCACGAGCCGAGAGCCCGTAGGATTCTCTCTTGAGAGGCTCAGAGCTTACAGTCAATGTGGTTTTCAGGACCAAAACTCACCCACTGCCACTGGGTGCATCCCCACTCGAGTGCCCGCTACAGGGTTTCGGAGGCTGTCAATCTTTACATCTGATCTGAGCCAAAAGGCCGAGAAGTGACGAGGCTGCGAATCTTTATGGCCTCATCTTTCGTTAGAGCAGCTGGTGGGTTTGAACCGCTGGCTTGTGGTTAGCAATCCAACACTCGGCTGGCAGGGCCACCAGGGCTCCTTGTTGTCAGGAAGTGGGCCCTGGGTGCCAGTTTGTTTTGGGTGTCGGAATTCCCCTGGACCACAGGCAGAAAGCTGGCCCAAGGCTGGGGCAATCAGAGGCTCTTCTCGGATAGGCAGGCAGCCCAAGGGGGTCTATGCGATGCCAGGGCCCGACAACGCTCAGGGCAGTGGGAAGGGCACATGCTGAAGGAGCAGCAGGGGTCAGCGTGCAGGGAGGGCAGGGGGAGGCAGAGAGAAAGACGAAGAAAGAGGGGCACTCATGATGCCAGCATCCCCAGGACGCCTCCTGCCCAAGAACCAGTTTCCTTCTTGCTCTTAGACTCCTGTGTATGGAAACTAACAAGTAGGCTTCTGATGTTTGCCTAAAAGCCACACTGATACAAAACTCAGAAGAAGAGGGGGCTGCCAGCCCTGGCTCCCGTGACCCCCGCCCTGCTCACCCCCTGCTCGTCCAACTTCAACAGCTGCTCCGTCACTTTGGGGGTGTTGAGGGCCAGCCGCAGGCAGTGGATGTTCAGCTCGGGGATGACGTACTCCAGGGCGTCCTTCACAGGGAGGCCCCGGCCAGTCCCGTGCTTCGTGGCCGTGGGTGTGGCATCCTCCAGGATGGAGCCTCGCAGGGTGATGAGCTACACGGGCAGAGAAGGGATGCTTACAAGGGATGCTCTCGGGACCCAGGGTGGTGACGTCAGTACACGTGGGGGGGGGGGGGGGCGAGATAAAGGGGCTGTCTTCTCAAAGATGAGAGTTAGATGCTTGGGCTCTGGTCTCAGAGCACCCCGGGTCCAAGCCAGGCCTGGCTGGACTAGCTACTTCCTGGCTGTGTGACCCAGTCACGTCCTATCTCTGAGCCTGGGTTTTCTCCTTGGTGAAGTGGATACCGTGCTAAGATCATAACCCCAAAGAACTTTGCGGAGGGCTGAACGAGGCAACAGACGTGACCCATAGCTTTCTGGCACACTCCTCCCTTCACAGTGCGGAGAGCAAGATCCCTGGCCTCAGGGAGCTGACTTGCTGGTGGAGAAGCTGGGTTCTGGCAGGGCGTGAAGTGTGATGAGTCAAACAGGGACCTGGAGGCAACGAGCCCTCAGATGAGAGCTCCCGGCCTCACTGTTAGTGGCCTGTCACCTCACGGCAAGCGTGCCACCACTCGTGTCCATTCTGACTCTAGCCACCCTGCAGACAGAGAGAGCTGCCCCGTGCAGTTTCTGAGGCTGTAAAACTGCTGTAAGCACATTAAAACGAGCTGTGCAATCAGAGCATTTTCTTTGTTCTTGTACTCATCATTATTAGCTCCCCAACTCCCCCCAACTTCCCCGCTGTACCCCCAGGAAACCATTAACCCAGTTACTGTCTCTAGAGTTACCTATCCTGGATTTCGTATACAGAAAAACATCCGACATGCTGCCCCAACAACAAAGTGAAGCCCAGAAAAAACTTCAATCTAAAAGACAGCAGAAAATCGTAAAAGCTAGCACAAATTTAAAATGGGCGAAAAGGGAGAACAATGATAAGGGGCTAAGTGGTTACCAAACTGCATCTGCATCCACCCACTTCCCAGTGCTCTGACTGCGAGGCGAGGCGAGGCGAGGCACACCCTGCTTGATGAGCAGAGACTGTCTGGAGGTGCTTAGAAATGAAGCTCAAGCACAGTTCCCTCCTTTAATGTCGGCTGTTATTATTGACAATCCTTGGGTCACACAGGCTGGCATGCTTCTTCCTCTCAGTGCTGAGTGCAGGCTGCTCTCTTTACCCTAGTGGGCTGTCTACTCCCTGGCTGCTATGCCTTGGAATGGCTTCTAGTGTTTGACAGCCAGGAGCAGTGCTGTTAGGGAAGCACCTCTTGGGCACACAAACACAGGGCTTTTGGGGGGTGGGGTGGAGGGTTTATAGCTAGGAAAGAAACTGCAGAATCACTGGGTGTGCTAATCGTCAATTTTACTGACCTGCCCAACAATTTTCCAAGCAGGTAGACCATGAACAGCTGGCTAGCCCTGGTTAAAAGCCCCTGCTGCTTCATGACCTTGCCAACACAAACTCACACTTTTACCCACCATGCCACCACTGCCCACCAGGTCTTGGCATCCAGTTCTGCACATGGGGTCCAGCACGGTGCCTTCTACTGCTCTGTACACGACAAGGAAAACACCCTCCCTGCGCCCCAGGAGATGGGGAGAGGCACCAAAGACACTCTTGGGGTGAGGCCTAGAGGTGGGGTAGTGTTCTCTGGAAAAAATGTGCTCACTTAGTCAACAGACCCGGGGGCAGTTGGCAGAGCCAACACGCCATGACATCACCTCTGAGCAGGCAGCTCAGCCTCACCAGACAGAGCCTGGGCAGGAGGCGAGTGAGGAAGGGCTGGGCTGAGCTCCAGGCTGGGGGTCCCGGTTCTGGTAAACTAAGGACTCTCGCATCTCCAGCTGAGCAGTCTCTCCAGGCGATGGAAAGCACCGACGTGGGATGCTCTGCCCTGCTTGTCTGGGCAGCTGGGGTGGTGGGCTTCAGTCAATGCCTCAACCACGGTCGGCTCTGCCACTGTGATCATGAGGCGTCGCTGGGATCGGGTATCAGGCATCCGAAGACCCAAAACAACCATTCCAATGCAAACAAGGCGGGTCGGAATGGGGACTCGAAGGCCACCTGTAGATGACTGGACATCCCTCACAGAAGGGCCACAATGAAGGGGAGAGCCAGCCAGGGGGCAGCATAGCACCAACAAAACACGCACCATTCCTCCAGTTCTTTAATGGCTCCCCCCACCCTCATCACAACCCCTGACCCCAGTTCTCCCTTACAAATCGGGCTAGACCGGAGCATGCACACTGGTACAGGCAAGCGCTCTCGGCACACAGAATGCAGGACAGCAATGGGAGAATGGGAGCAGTGAGCGGTACCATGAAGGTAGCGGGGAAGGAAGGGAGACAGGGGGAACCGATCACAATCACCCCCCCCAGTGGGGTGAACAAACGTGGGTGAAGGGTGAGAGCGGACAGTGTAAAATATGAAAATACAAACGTATAATGTATCACAATCATCCCTCCTGGGGGGGTGAACAACAAACACGGGTGAAGGGCGAGAGCGGACAGTGTAAGATATGAAAATAAAAACAACTCATCATTGATCAGGGGTTCATGAGAGAGGGAGGGTGGGAAAAGAGGGGCTGACACCGAGGGCTGCAGCAGAAACCGTCTTGAAGATGATGATGGCACACGTGTGCAAAAGGGCCTGACACAGTGGATGTGTGCGCTGCTGTAAGAGCTGCAAGAGCCCCAGTACAGTGATTTAAAAACACAACCCCACGCCATCGTGAGCTCTGGCTCCCAGCCACCCCAGGCGACCAGGTGGGACAACTGCCCTCACGCTGACTCGGCTTGGCCGTGCGCTCCGCTGGGCCACGTGACCAGCCTCCTTCCTCCTCCATTCTTGCTTTGACCACTTGACGGGATTTTCCTGTGAGGTTTCTCAAGTCCCCTGCTTGTAAAGCTGGCCATCTCCCTGCCCACACTGGTCCTCCTGCTCCAGAGAGAGTGCCATCCGGCTCTCTGCTCAGAGCCCTCTAGTGACTGCCCGCCTCTCCCCACAGAGTTCACACAGCCAGCGACGGGGAGAGTTTGCAAGCCCCCCATGATTTCACCCCCCCACAACGCCTGGCATCCTGCTGAAGGTGCACAACAAGCAGTTGTGGGCTGCAGTTCGGAGCCACCAGCCACTTCTTGGTAGAACGACGCGTGCTACTCTGGAAAGGAACCCCCAGGCAGCCCCCAGCCCTCTAAGGCCGCGGAGCAGCATTGACTGGGTGGCAGACGTGTGGTTCTTCATTGCTGCTGCCTCGCTCTGGGCTCTGGGTGCAGGCGGACCCTCTAATAAGCTTTCCAGGAGGTCCCCTGGGGGGTCAGCTGGCCTGGGTTCAGACCCCAGATACGCCCCTGTGGGGTCCTGGGCATCAGAGAGTGCCTTTTCCCACGATGTCGGAGTCTCAACCTGGGGTAGCCGCTTCCACAGGCTGTTGCATTTTTACGTTGTGAATACAGTAGGTGTGTGTGTCTTTTGTAAATGGTTCCAAATTCGGACAGTACAAAAGGGCTCATAGATACGAGCCTCCCCCACCCGGCTGCCTCACAGAGGCATCCATCCCGATTGTCCCTGCACATCAAACTGTGTGTGAGCCAGCTCACCACCGTCCAGTCTACCCCACCTTGCAGCGCCCCTGCAGGACAGAGTAGAACTGCCCCTGTGGGTTTCTGAGGCTGTCGGTCTCTACAGGAGCAGAGAGCCTCGTCTTTGGCTCTCAGAGTGGCTGGTGGGTTTGAACGGCTGAGCTTGCCGTTATCAGCCCCGCTCATCACCCACAGCACCGCCAGCATCACCCACAGCACCCACAGAGCACCATGGAGCTAAGGAGCCAGACGGAGATCAAACACTAAACAAGCAACCATCAAGGGAGACTGGGTCAGAGAGATGGGGGTGGGGGGCGGTCAGCAGGACACAGGGGTCAGTGGCTCGCCTCCTTGCTGACTCTGGCCCCACTGCGGTGCTTCCTTGTCCTCTTCGGTAGAGCTCCCCTCTAAGGTGTCTGTGCAGTAAAGCACAGGCGTCCCTGGGTGGTGAGTGAGGGAAATACAGTGGGCCAAGGAGGCCAGCAGAAAGGCACTTCTGAGAGGTCTGCTAACCCCAGAAACGTGTCAATGGGATCCGGTTTGCGAAGAGGGTCTTGGGAGACGTTAGCAGCCGGCAGGAGGTCATGCTGGCAGGCTGAGCGGTGTCCTTCCAGAAGAGGTGAGACGGAGGGACACATGCCACATGGCAACGGAGCCACCTCCCCTGGAGCCTCGGTGACACCCTGAACCTGCCCTTGAGGCCTCAGCACTGTGACACACGCCACCCACTCTGGCGTTTTGCTGCCCTGGCCCTGGGCTTCCAGTGCCGACAACGGTCTGCATCTCCTCCTCACTACAGCCACTCCCCACTCTGCTGGCGTCCACGCAGTCAACCAGGAGACCAGACTCGGGGCCCAGCTGAGGCCTGTTCACCGAGACGCGGCGGGTTCCTGTTTTACACACTCAATGTATTGTTTCGCTGCTGAACAATGAGCATCTGTTACTTTTCAAGTTAAAAGGAAAACTGGATTAAAAAAAAAATGACATGTCCAACCCTCTAACCCTGCCAAACCTAGGGCCTGCCAGAGAGTCCCGCTTGCTAGGCCAAAGAAGACCCCTGGGCTGCCTGTCTATGGGCGAGGCAGTGCCAGCAGGGGCCCGGGAGAGGGCAGCCCTGGCTTGGCGCTCAGCCGGCTGGTGGGGCTGGGGCTGACGATTGGGCAGGAGGTGCCCAAGCCCAGCTCCAAAGCTGTTCCCACGTCGGAGGGGAGCGAGCGAGCACTGCCAACGCTCACCCCCCATCTGCTGGGATGCGGCCCACTCCTGACTGTCTGCTTGGCCATCTGGGCCGCTCCAGCAAGCGGTGGGCTTGGAAGGCAGCCTGGGCCCTTGCTCCAGCCCCCATGCCAGCGGTGCTTGCTCCACCATGCCTGGGGCATGTGCGGGGCCAGAAGGGCAACTCTGTCTGGGACTCCTGGGGGCATGGGCCCCTGGCATCAGGATCCTTGTTCCAGGTGCAGATACGGAGGCTGCAGAGGTCAACCCATTTGACCAAGGTCATATGGATGTTGGGTGGCAGAGCTGGTGGGCCCACACCCACGGCTGCCTGTCTGCAGAGCCCAGAATTCCAACCTGAATTGCTGGCAGGGCGGCCAGTTCTGCCGAGGTGGAGGCCCATCTGCGGCCTCGGTGTTCCCATCTATGGACTGGGGACGATGGTGGGGCTGGTAGCTGGAGCACCTGGAGCACAGCACGGCTGGCAGGAGGCTGTGCAAGAGCTGCCTGTGACGATGACCGCTGGCTGGCTGTTTCTGGACTCCACCTCCACAACGGGAGGGCCTGGGGACGGAGCAGCACACTTGCTGGCCACTGCCCTCCCTTCCGCTCCGGCCTGAGGGCTCTGCAATGGGCTGGGCCCTGGGGCCGCCCCATTGGACTCAGGTGGACCACACTTCACAGAGCCAATCCGAAGCCTCCCTAGTGCTGCAGACACGCACCTGGCCGAGTCCACTCCACCGCCGAGGGAGGCTGGGGCTCCAGAGAGGAAGAGGAGGAGCCCGAGGTTCCACAGAGGCTGGGGGACACAAGGACTCAGCCGGGACTCCACATGGCCCAGCCTGGGTACCCGGTGCCAGCTGTTTCCTCTGCCAGGAAGACTCCTCAGGTGCCTGTGGTGTACCCTCCCTCACGCCCTCAGGTCTCCACATGAACACCACCTTCTCAGTTGTCACCTCCCTCGTGTGGTGTGTCCCTCCCCACAAGAGCACCTCTCCCACGGGAGCCGGGGGATGCTCAGCGGAAGGGAAGCATTCCAGGCCTGCGGGTCGGAGCCTTGATCGAGGGCGCTAGGCCCAGCCTGGGAGACCACAGTCCCCGGGGGTAGTGTTGTGTGTGTGTGTGTGTGGGTGGGGCGGGGGGTGTATGTGTGCGGGGAAGGGCAAGGTGAGTGGGAACAGGACCGAGCTATGAATGGCACCAAGCCCCTTCCACCTTACAGCACGGGACCGCAGAGAAAACAATCTCACGCTACATGCTTTCATTTGTGAAAACTGGCCTGGAGGTGGAATTCACAGCTCCTGAGTGGGTGGGCCTGCTGCTTGCTGGATGGCACTCTGGGCAAGGCTTTACCTCGGTCACCTGTGCTGAGGATGGCAGTGCCATCACCACCGAACCAGGCCTAGCGCACAGGAAGTGCTCAGTAGGCTGGCCGTGGACAGCAGTACACACTATCGACGAATCCAGCTCATCTCTGTCACCCAGCAGCCCCGACATCACAGAATGGTCCGCACAGCTGTTTCTTCGTATGCTGCCCGGTGCCCCTTGGGGCAGAGATGCGAGGAGGGGGGGCTGGGGAGGGCGGGGGCCATGGCCACCTGCGTCCAAGACACGTGGTTTTGGTCAGCCTCCCCTTAGTGGCCAATGTCACCCCATTTTCCCTCAGCAGGAGGGGTGCCACCAGGAGACGGGGTTAGCACAGTGTCTGCCAGCCTGGATGAGGTCCAGGGATGGCTGGCCCTGTCGGTGGCAGCCTGCCGGATTCCGGGCTCGCAGGGGTGGGGGCAGGGCTCGGCTGAGGGAGACCATTGAGGGCGAGGTGGGGGCCTCCCTTGGCTGATGGGTCTTTCTTACTTGGGTCTTTTGGGAGTCTATCATTTCTGCGTGGCTGGCTCTTTTCTTTTTGCTGAAAGTTTATCTTGCTGTTGTGGAGACTATGCAAAGCATACGGGATTCCATACATTCCACGTGGAGGTCAGTGGCCTGGTGGCAGCCTCTGACGTGGTCTGACAGTTCCCAGGCTGTTTTTCTGGGTTAACGTCCCTCCCTCAGTAGCATGAACTCTGTACACCCACCCACCCACACACCACACACACACAGTTGCCAATCTAATCGTTCAGTTTGCTGGTGTCACCTGGGTCCCACATACAGAAGAACAAACTACCAGAGACACTAATGGTGGTTAAAGGCTTGGCCGGGATTCACGGGCTGGGCAGTTAACCCCTAGTCATCCTCTAAGACCTGACCTAACAATGTAAACAAAACCCATCAGCGTAAGCCTCCATAATGAGTGAGATTAGGGTAGAAGACAACACCTTTACTTAGATCACGGCCCTGATGTAATGAATTGTAATTAAGGGTGTGGCCTGCTTCCAACATAAGTGGACACTGCGGGAAACTTGCTTGCTTTTCTTGCTGGGTTTGGATCCTGCTTCTGGCTCCTGACTGCTTGTCTTTGGACTTGAACCAACGGCCTGCGGTACTGCCTGGTCATCCAGGGCATCCTCTGCGCCTTGTCGTCTGGCCGGCTGACCTTGGAGTCCTCCCCTCTTCCTGCTGATCAGGGGTTCGTCAGCTTCCAGAGCTACACAAGTCAGAACCCTGGACCCGGAACCTGCCTGGACTTGAACTTGCCTGCTTCTGCATCCATGGGAGCCCTTTCTTTCTCTTCTTCTCTTTCCCTCTCTCTCCCTTCCTTCCCGTCAGTTTTCCTTTATCTATACACGATATACACGCATACATATGTGTCACTGGTTTTGAGTCTCCGGAACAAAACTTCCTAAACTGTGGGTTTGGCTGAAAGTGGGGATCACGAAAAATTTGGCAACAGTAGAAAGTTTCTTGAAAGCCACGTGGATGCCAATGCCAAACAACCGGAATTTGATTCAGAATCAAACACATAATCAATCTCAGGTGTTTCTGGCCTGTGTTGCCAATTTGTCCAGTGAAAAGGGGTTGGGAGAGGAAAAAGTTTAACCAGCGCAGCTCTGGAGAACCTCGGCTGAGAGACCCAGGTACATCCCACATGCCCGCGCCCGCTCCCTCACACCTCGCTGCGACCCTATCGGGCAGGGCAGAACTGCCTTTGTGCGTTCACAGGAGCAGGAAGCCTGTTTTCCTCCCTGGGAGCGACTGGCATTTTCAAACTGCCAACCTTGCAGTTGGAAGCCCAATGCGTTCCCTATGCCACCAGCCCTCTTACGTGCTTACAAACACGTGTAAAATCCAAACCCGTGACTATGAAGCCGATTCCGACTTCTATCGACCCCATAGGACAGAATGGAACTGCTCCATCGGGTTTCCAAGACCGTGGGGCACAAACAGCCTCAGCTGGTGGGCTTGAATTGCCCGCCTCATGATTCAGATCGCCCAGCGCCTGACCCGCCGCACCAACAGGGCTCCCGTGACCCCATGCAGACTGCTCTATACCAGAGTGTAAGGCTCAGATAACCCTCTTCTCGCTAGCTAAGTTAAAGGAAGGCTTGATGTTAAGAAGACTTTGGGGAATCTTTCTGGTTTAAGATTTAACAGCCCCCACTCCCCCCTTTTTGCTGGTGGCGCTATGGGTTAGGAATTGGGTGGCGAATTGCAAAGTCAAGGTTCAACCCCATCGAGGGAGAAAGCCGAGGCGGTCTGCTCCTGCTATGAGTTGGCACCAACCCCTTTTAGCGGAAGAGCTGCCAAGCCGCTCCCCCAGGTGGTTCTGAAAGAACCAGGCCAGTGCTGGTGCCTAGTCCCGTCAGCCTCCAGACCATTCTGGCTCCTTCAGGCCTGAACACAGTGATTGGTGAGGGACAGGATCTTGTGATCCACTACAGCCAATCAGAGCCCTGCCTGGAGATGCAGCTGAGAAGTGCCTGCAGGTGCAGGGTCAGAGAGCTATGGGGTCAGAAGACTTGGGCAGCCTGTCCTCGTGATAGTGCATTGGTGGCCCAGGGGACTGTCACTCATGATGCAAAAATGGCAGCCGCGCGGAGCAAATAAGAGAGCAGAACTTGAGTCCCCAGGTCCCATCTTGCTCACCGCTAGCTAGCCTACCCCTGCATATCATTACAGGACGCAAGGATTTTCCTTTTGACTCGAGTCCACTGAACGCAGTTTCGTGCTACTTACAATCGAATCTCCACACAGCAAGGCTGCTCCAAGGGCTATGCTATAGGCCAGGCTCTGGCTCTAGACCACAGCGGACCCCTGACCAGGCCAGGCCCGTGAGAACTTTCTCCCCTCTCAAAGGGGGAGGGACTGACTTTGTTGCGGCACCTGCTGGGGAGCTTCCCCAACCCGACCTTGCCCCCGGCACAGTCTCCGTCCTCCTTCCCTTCAGGACACCTCCTGACACTGAAGGACTCTCCCACAGAGCCTCTCTCGCGTCTGCTGACCAGCCAGCGAGTTTCCGGCAAAGATGGCCCTTCGGGCTTGGCTCGGTAGTGCGCGCTCTGGAGACACATCCATTTATTTGCTGTGAGATGCTCTGCTTATCACCTACCTTGCCTGAGCCTCCGCTTCCTCCTTGATAAAACGGGTGGGCAGACTGAGACAGCACCCGTCGTGGGGTGGCGGGTGGGCAGGCGGGTTCCAGGAGAGGAAGCAGGGTGAGCGCCGGCCCACAGACCGGGGCCCAGTGCTGACCAGGCAGCTGACCAGTGTGTGAGGACGGGGATGACAGGGCCTACCTCTCGGGTCCGGAAGATGATCCTGTACTGGTACTGGGGCCCATGGTCCTTGTGGTCCTCCAGCTTTTCCCGCTTGATGCTCACGGCCACTGGCCCCAGCTTCTCGTCCACACCAAAGTAGTTGGCGTGCTCTGCGAAGGAAGGGCAGGCGAGACCAGTCAGCGGTCGGGGAGCAGGCTCTTCATCACCCCGCGGAGTCCTGCTACCCAGTCCTCACCCTGCTCCTGGCCACACTCAGTGGGGAGATGGTTAAGGAGATACAGGCTGGGGCCCACCCGCCTTAGTGTGCCACCTCCGCCAAGTCACAGACCCTGGGCTTTGAACCCGTTCAACCCCTGCTGGGAACGCAGCTTTTTGCTCCAGACGTACAGAAGCAGACTCTAGGCGTAGTGATTTCGAGATGGATTACAATACACAAGGGCAGCGGTTCAAACCCACCAGTTGCTTCTTGGGAGAAAGACAGGGCTTGCTACTCCTGTAAGGAGTTAGTCTCTGAAACTCAGAGGAGCAGTCCAACCTGCCTGATGGGGTTGACTCGATGGCAGTGAGTTTAATGTCCCCCACCACGCCTGGACAAAAGGCAAATTCTCAGCAGGGGATAGAACCCATTGGGATGACGGGGTTCAAAGTCTTGGTGTGAAGGAATGGCCCCAGCTCACTGTGTTCCTCGCATGCAGGCCCTCCCAAGTGAGAGCTGACAAGAATCCACTCTGGTGGTTAGGCTAGGTGCGCGCGCGCGCGTGCACGCGCGCGCACACACACACACACACACACACACACACACACACAATGAATGAATGCACAAGAGTGTGTGCATGGTGGATGCACAAGGGTCATTAGCCAAGTTGTTCAAACCCTCCACAGGTGGGCTGACATCCTAGTTTCAAAGCGAGAACTTGCTACCTTCTTCCATGATGGCTGCGGATTGTCTATTTTGAACTTATCTGCCCCTAGAGACACTGCCAACTGCAGTTCAAATCCACTAGCTGCTCCCAGGCTCTGTGCTCCCGTGAAGACTTACAGTCTTAGAAACAAACTCTATAGGGCTGTTGGGGGCCGGAACTGACGTGGTGGAGGCGGGCTTTCTTTGTGGTGGTTGGTTTGGGGAGAGAAACTGAGGGTCACAACCAACAGCTTCCGGGCGAATTTCCCAATCAATATGAAGTGGCTCTCCCTGCCCCCGACAGGCGCTGCCCGTTCTGGACCGTACACTGTGTGCAAGGGCCGTTGCCTCTCTTGGTGGCCGTCTGGGATGGCTCCCCTCCCTCACCTTATTTTCACACATGCCATTTTTGTTCTGGGTCTGCGACGTTGCTGGAAGTGTGTGTGTTGTGTCATGGAGCTGGTAAGCTTTGGGAGGGTACCCCATCCCCAAGGCTGTCTCCCTCCCCAGTAGGAGCTCCCGAGACTGCGCTCTTGAGTCCTAGGACAGCCCTGTGGACACTGGTGATGCTTACCAACAAGGTCCTGGGCTGCAAATCAGTCCAAGCTACTCTGCCCGGCTCCCCTCTGCCCTCGAGAGAGACCCTCTGACCTTGGAGGAAACGGGAGCGTGGCAGGGGGTCTGTACCTAGCATAAAGCCTCTATTTGCCAGCCTGCCTTGCGGATACGAGTAGCCAGTGGGGTAGAAGCAGAAATGACTGGATGTGGCTTCTGAAAAGTCCTTTAGAGGAAGCTCACTTGACTGGGAAGCTTGCCTTTTTGCCCTCCAAAACCCAGCCCGACCCACTGCTAATGACTGTGACAGCCACCGGCCCTGTGGGTTTCCGAGACCGCCCCTCTTTACAGAGCAGAAAGCCTCCTCTTTCTCCTGAAGAGCGGCGGGTGGGTTGGGTCCAAATCCAAACCCCAGTGAGATTCCATTTCATTCCCACTAGGGTGGCTAAGATCATTTTAAACAATGAAACAAAACAACAACAAAAACCACCAAAAAATAAATAAGTGTTGGAAAAGATGTACAGAATTTGGACCCTCATCCAATTGCTGGTGGGACACAAATGGGGAGCTATTGTAGCAAGGTAATTCCTCCCAAAACTAGAGGTAGAGCCACCACACGACACAGCACTTCCAGTCCTTCATATTCTCCCACCTAATGGAAGTGACACAGAGCCGTCTGCACACCTGGGCTTATTTACAAAGACATGGAAACAAGCTAAGGGCCCACCAATGGGGTGACACCCAGCGATAAAGAAAAGCACATTCCCAGATAGCTTACCGTGTGGGTGAACCTGCAGGTCATGAGGTAGAGAAAAACACACACAAACACAAACCAAGTAACGTTCCTTGGTGCTTATAGGAGGATTCCCTCTCTAGCTAGTGATCTGTGGTGGTGGAAAAGGAACAGGAAATGCAGGAAAAATGTGCCGAGCTTGATGAAGGGAAGTGACGTCACCAAGATGCACGGGAGAAGGAGGGGCCTGTGGGTAATTTCTGTGGCATATGTAACATTGCAACAACAGTAACCACCACTGAAAGATCTACATGCAAGTACAGACATACATATGTGTATGCACACAGATATATAAGTGAGTACAACTCTAAGTATGTATACAGGTGGATGCATACATGATATAGACATAAAATAAAGCAGACAGGGTCACAATTACTCATCATTCTTAAGACAGAATCACACACCTTGTAGGATTGGTTTTCTGAGATTGGAGGCTTAGGACCATAGTTTGGAGGGATAACTTGGTCAACTGGTGTAACATAGGTAATAAAGTTATAATCTGGTGAGTGGTGTCTGGGGTCTTAAGAGCTTCTGAGCAGCTATCGATGATCCAACTACTGGTTTCTGCCTGCCCAGAGCAAAAGAGGGAGAAGACAACCATAGATTCATAGAAGAAACCGGTCCACGAAGCGCATATTTACGTGAACCATGGCCTCCGTTACCCAGAGAGCATAAGAAGCAGATGGTGCCTGGCTACTACTACAGACCGCTCTGATCAAGTCTGCGATGGCTGGCTCTTTCCAGAACGGGAGACAAAATGAGGAGCAGAATCTTACATTCTTCGAAACATGAGTCCAGGTTCACAAGACCGAGCGAGAAGGAAGGGCTCTCCGAGATTACTGTTCTGAGATATTCTTTCCATCTGAAATCCAGACTCCTGGACAACAGATGGGCTCCCAGGGCAGAGAGTGTCACTGGGAGCGCAGTGCTCTTTTAAGATTGCTGTGGTAGTTACGGGATGTCCTGTCAACTCGAAGATACATGAAAGTCTAGGGGTGGAGTTTAGCCTGTCAATCAGGAAGCAGCCTGATGATCTCACTTGGAGGTCCGAGCAAGATCTACAGCTCTCTGGAGGTCGCTCTCTCTCTCTCTTTCTACCTGCTTGCTGACTTGGAGAGCTGCGAGAGCCTCTGCCATGTTTTCTACCACCTGCGGAGCCACAGGACTTTGCACACTCTGGCCTGCGATCTGATCTTCCTGCACTCTGCATCGTTGCATGTGGTGCACGGTGGGAGTCTGCCCAGGGACTTAGGGACTTCAGTAAGACTGGGCTGGCATATTTTCTTGATATAAAGCTCTTTCTTATGCTTGTACGAGTGTCACTGGATTTGTCTCTCCAGTCAACCCGGCCTAACACAACGGTCTCTCTCAGGCCAAATGATCAACAATCATTTTACCACAAAAGTGTGTATGGGAGGGGCAGGGAAACTAGATGAATGAAAACAGAAACACCAGAACAGAAATTATGAGACCAGTCGTGCCCTGTGAGAACATAGCAATGTCATTCCACAGCCTGTACAGCAGGTGTGCAAGGGGAGCCTGAGCTGATGTGTACACTGTGTATACCTTCAGTGAGAACACCACAGAGTCCTCTTTTTAAAAGCAGCAGCATTCGGGTTTCTATTTCCTTCAGGGCAAAGTCAGCTGGAGTTGTGGGGGTGAGCGCTGCTTCACCCCCGGTTCCTGCCTGGCCCCTGCTTTTGTGGTCACTGCACTGTCCTGGAAGTGGCCAAACAGCACCAGTGAACCCTGTCTCCCTGGCATGGACACCTTCCAGACACCAGCAGGTCCACCTTCAAAATATTCATCCCCCCCAACCAATCCAGTTCTGTCCAGTCATCTCCTGCCTGGTCTCCCAGCTCCCACTTCTTCCCCCAGCCTGCTGCCCACTGACAGCCAGAGGTCACTTATGGACGCCTGAGGCCAATCAGTGCCTGGCCAGCTCAGAACCCTGCAGTGGTTCCACTATACTTGGCCTCCCCTGTGGCCCAGTCACTGCCTCAGGCCCCCTTCTCTCCCTCTTACCACCCTGCCAGTCAACCCCGACCCGCCCCCCCCCTATGCGCCAGGATTTCCACCCTTGCTGGGGTCTCCGTGCAGCCCTGTCTGTCCCTCCTCTCGTTGGGCTCAGTATGGGGAGGCACTTACTTTCCCAGGCCCTCCCTGACTCTTCCTCTCCCCACAGCGCTTCCAGAACACCCGGGACACTTGGTCTCTACGTTCACCCACCCATCCTGTTTCGTGCTTGTCTTCCTCTCCTGACACCGAAGCCCCAGGAAGATGGGGATTTCCGTCGTGACCTGGCCTGCGGCTGCATCCTGGCTCAGAGAGGTGCAAACGCCCTCCGGGTATTCAGCATTATTGATCGCCCCCTCTAGTCCTCGGACCCCTGCCACCGTTACCTTTGCCCACGAAGTAGTCCTGGTAGTAGCGGGCGCCAAGGTCCACGTGCTCGATGCTGTACTGCCGCGGCCGGCTCTGCGTCCGCTGCTGCTCCTTGGGCACCTCCAGCACCGAGATGCTGGCGTTGGTGCGGTAGGCGCTCAGCGGGGGCTCGGCCGGCCGGCCCGGGCCGGGGCCCTGGGCGGCGCCCCCCGGGGAGCCCGCGCAGGCCCGGGAGAAGCTCACGTTGCGCTCGCACTCGCCGCCCGTCTCGTTGCGGAAGTGCGGGCAGCTGAGCAGCAGGTCGTTGCTGTTGTCGTCGCCCAGGTCCTGCTCCAGGTTCTCCTTGCAGTTCAGATCCTCCGTGCTGGTGAAGGCGGGGTCCAGGCCCCCCAGGCCGGGGGCCCGCGGGGCCG